AAGTACTTTGGCCAGGATCCAAAGTACAAGTCGGAAAGGATATATATATATATATACAGGGTGTCTCGTGTGAAGTTAATCACACAATTCTCTCTTAAAAATTCGCTGTGAGGAGAAATGAAACTTACGTTGTTTCGAACATTATGGCCGCTATAATTTTATTTGAAACATTCTTAAACATTCTATAACGAACAGTTTAAAAGAAAATTGCCTAGTTAGCTTCGTACGGAACACTCTGTACATAAGCGCGGCAAAAAGGATTCACAGTCAGTACAATAGAGTATTGCAGCTAGTATTGCAACATTTTTACATGAATAAGTCTCATCTCGAATAAAAGTATAATTTTTCCGTGAATTTTTTAATCGTACCCTTACAACGTGAGGCAACTGTCTTCAACTTTTTTTGGGTCGTTCCCAAAGATCCAGGCTCGAAGCTCGAATGAATATATATATATACCTGGTGGGAAGGAAATATTCCCGCTGTTTAAAACAAGTGGCCGCAAAAGAGGAACGGGCGCCGACTTTTCTTCCTTCGTCGAGTGGCTCAACTGGGTGTACGAGAGAGAGCCGATTGTTCCGGTTGGAGTAACGACGATATTAAAGAAACAAGGCCAGAGAGAAGGTGTCCCGACCGACGACGTTGCCTCGAGTATCGTTTGACGAAACGGAGCGAATTGTTTTGTACAAAGGAAGCTTGCTTGGCACACCTCGAGCCCGACCGTCAAAAATTACTCTTTGAAGAGAGCAGCCCGCTCGGGGATACCATCTCTCTGAACGCGCTGCATAATAAAAGGAGGTTCACAAAAGGGGGGAGGGAGAGAAGCGTCGATATTTACTCGGATTCAAGGTACATGCAAATTCCACAGCAGGACGACGAGGAAATCGATCGGAAATTTCAGTCGCGAGCAATTCGGTGTCAGTCAGAGACCCCTTTCCTTTCCTGATACGAACTTTCTCCAGTCCGCGGCGAAAAGTTGGTATTCTCGTCGCGGGATGGAAATTTCTCTGGTCGAAACGCATGTTTCGCGGCGCCGGTATCGGACGAAACTTTGGGCGAGAAGTGTTGCCCGAACGACGTAGATCAGTTCCGAGGATCGTTCTCCGAAACCTTGACGGACGATCGCGATATCGGCCGCCGGCGAGGGAGAAACGCCGTTGGAAAAAATCTGATAAAATGAAATCCAGCGAACGAGGAAGAAAATTAGTTTGGAAAAGGTACTGCCGGCTGGATTAACTTGCTCGAAGAAAGCAAGGTGAAAGGGAGAAAATTCAGTTCGGCGAGGATGAGGGAAAATGTTCGTCGAACAATCCATCCGACGATTTGAAGCCGAATCTGCTGGATAGATCACGCAGCGGCCGGAAATTGCAAAGCGGCTTGTCGGAACGCTGCTGCCCTCGAGTCGGCGGGAAATCTCGGAAAATGCCGCAATTCACCCGAGCAGCGGAAGAATCGCGGAAGCTGAAAAACTTCGCCGATAAACTTCGACTTTGGCCGTCATAACTTTCTTCTGGTTCATTGAATCCGACTCTTCTCCGTTCTTCGTAATTTTTACACCCTTTCAAACGATCGTTCCGAATGGAACGTTTCGTGGGTGTTTTATCGATAGCCAGTTTACAAGAGATCGGTCCATCGAGCCGGTTCGTCGACTTTATCTCTCTTCAAGTATTTAAGCTAGCCGCTGGATGAACTATATATATTACCATTATATTTGTATCATTCATCTCCATCTATTGATTTTACAATTTTCTCTATTCCTATAACAGGAATTTCATCTATTTTAGGATCTTTAAGTAATCTTTTATTATATCTTTAAATTGTGATCAAATGAATTTATTTTCATGATCAATTACTGTAAAGTTTATCAACTTTATCATTTATTTACCAGTACTAGCGGGAGCAATTGTTATATTATTATTGACGTATATATTGGAGTATTGCACACTTTGGACATACGTAATGTACTTTAGCCATCAAGATGAGCTTCTTTTTTATCTTTTTTTTTCGATAAGAAATTATAGCAATGAGAAATCTTTCTTAATCTATCGGAATTCGAAAAAGACCGACTATAACTGTTGATCTCTTAAAAATTTAAGGTTAGATTTGAAAAGTTAAGTTAAGTTAGGTTCCATTACAAAATTAACGAACTCAAAAAATGTTTCGATCGATGTGTACAATTTCTGAGACGGGGTCCCTTTGTGGCGGCATTCCGACAGAGTGGATTATCATATCGAAAGGTTATCAAAGGGTTAAGAGCAGCAAAATCGGCGATGATGCCAAAAAAAAAAAAAAAAAAAATGAAAAAGGAGTCACGAGATAAATACCCGAAGATCGATTCTTCGTTGCAGGGCGAGCCAGCTGTT